GACACTGCAAGGTAATTTCTTAGTTCCTGAGCCCACTTTTCTGTTTTCTCTACCTCTGTCCTCTTTTCCTTCCATTTATTATTCATTGGTTCCTTCATTCTTTTTCTCTTTTTTTAAAATTTTGTTCACTTATTTGACAGAGTGTCCACACAGGAGCAGGGCAAGGCCAGAGGGAGAGGGAGCACTCGGACATGGGGCTGAATGTGGGGCCTGATCCCAAGACCCCAAGATCATGACCTGAACTGAAGGCAGATGCTTAATTCGCTGAGCTACCCGGTTGCCCCCCCCCTTTTTTTTTGAGATTTTATTTTTAAATAACTCTACACCCCACTTGGGGCTCAAACCCACAACTGAGATCAAGAGTTGCATGCTCCTCTGACTGAGGCAGCCAGGCACCCCTGTTCTTTCATTTTCTGTCCATTCTCTATACATGAGCACTGTTAGGACAGAGAATACAAAGATAATTGTCTGTATTCTGTTGTTTCTTTATCAAGATCATTCTAGCAAAGAGGTATACGAAATGACAGTATGATCAGTATACACCATGATTAAAGTAATCACAAAGATTTTCACAAGAGGTACAGGAATGTAAGGAGAGTGATTAATTTTACCCCGTATGTATTATGTATTAGCATCGAAGGAGATAATCTCTGAAAACATTTTGTAAATCATAAAGCACTGTGCGAATGGGAGGTGTCATTTTTACCAACAATAGCCTAGGCTAGGTGAGGAGACAAGAGACTAGCTTTGTTTAACACTGTGGAGGTGGGCACGGCAGTTTCACCCCTCTTTGGGGTTGAGGGAAGCCTCAGGGGGCTCAGATTTGTACCTTACCAAGGTGATTGTGAAGAACCTGTCATCGGGGACCCGAGTGGTACTCAAGTCACACTATGGCTACGAGGTGGAAGAGGTGAAAATCCTCGGAAAGGAACGTTACCTGGTGGCCCACACGTCAGACACGCTGCTGCTGGGGGACCTGAACACTAATCGCCTTAGTGAGGTAGGAACCCCAGGCAGAGGGGTGGGAAATGGAGCATCATGAGCTGCTACTTCTGGGGAACCCGGGTCCCTAAGGGGGAAGATCTCTAAGGAAGAGCTCTAAGATGCTGGTGTTGGGGACCTGGTGGACCTGGGAGTGAGACCCTGGAGATTTAGAATCCTGGAATAGAAGTTCCCACTGTTGGGCTGTTTTTACAGCATCTCTCAGAAGCCTAGAAGCCTAGGGCAGGATGTGACACAGCACCCCACTTGTGGAACATCAGGGCCTTCCTAAACTCCTTCTCTCTGCCTCCTACCCCGTCCTTCTCTCAGCGTTGTCTTGGATACTTACCCACATTGTTCTTACGTCCTCTCCCTCTTTTACAGGTGGCTTGGCAGGGATCTGGTGGCAATGAGAAGTATTTCTTTGAAAATGAAAATGTGAGTAGAGCTTGATTAACCAACCATCACCATCTCAGTAAACCTCCTAGCTAAGAGAGAGCAGATAAAGAAAGGAGGGCAAGATAGGCAGAGGAACAGAATAAAGAGAAAGGTGGGAGTCACTTTGCACTGACAAGACATCTCCCTCTACTACTGTTGACCGTGCAGACTTCTTCATGCAAACTTCCCACCACGTGACAGTTCCCTTCATCCCCAGGTGTGCATGATTTTCAATGCTGGAGAGCTAACCCCGATAGAGTATGGGAGTCATGATACCCTGGGTTCTGCACGTACTGAATTCATGAACCCCCACCTCATCAGGTAACCCCACAAGGTTCTCTAAATTTTTGAAACCAAAAGAAGTCCCTTTTAACCTCTAACTCCTGTATCCTCAAGATTAATCTAAAAACTTCATCCTCTATGGTACTTTGGGCCCTTGCTCAACATCCCGATAACCCAAGTCCATTCTGCCTTACCTCACCCTTCGTGTTTCAGTGTCCGTATTAATGAGCGGCGTCGACGAGGGATGGAAGACAATAAGAAATTGGCTTATCTTGTTGATGTTAAGACTATTGCTATAGGTAAGCCTCTCTCATAATTCTGATAACAAAACAGATGTTCATAGTATGCTTCCATATCACAGGGGTGTGTAGAGTGGAGAATGCAGGAATCTGAGAGGCACCAGGTAAATATATGGCCCTGCTCTCACAGAGGATGTGGGAAGTGTTCTAATCCATGTGTGCGAGTCTGCGTCTAGCTGTATAGATACAGATACACTGTTATGCATATCAGCTTATCCATATAATTATTCATGCTCTTTAGGCATGTATCTTAGGGCTAGGAATTGTGAACTGTAGAGTGGAACCATCAGTAAATTTATGAATTTTCCTGTTTAGACTTAAGACATAGGATAATGGACTGTTCAAACCAGAAGGGGACTTATTTTCTATAGAGTTTGACATTGGTAGCCAGTGATGACAAAATTGATTTGAATTTCACAAGTGCTCACATAAATAAATACATCTTATTTTATGTATTAATAATTAACTCTGGAGACACCTGGGTGGCTCAGTCAGTTAAGAGCCTGCCTTCGGCTCAGGTCATGATCCCAGAGTCCTGGGATCAAGTCCCACATCAGGCTTCTTGCTCAGCAGGGAGCCTGCTTGTCCCTCTGCTTTCTGCTCTCCCTGCTTGTGTACTCACTCTCTCTGACAAATAAATAAATAAAATCTTTAAAAAAAATTAACTCTGTAGCATGAAATATTTCAAGCATAGAAAAATGTATTTAGAACAGTACAGTATTCCCTATGATGTGTAGAGAATAGCATATCCATATAGTGTCATTAAGAACAAGGATCTAGAGTCAAACCTCCTCACTTCTGCAATTATACCTGTGTGATCTTAGGTCAATTTCTTAACTTTTCTGTATCTCAATTTCCTCATCCACAAAATGGGGATAAAAATTGTACCTGCCTTATATGAAGAGCACTTAGACTAATGTCTGGCACAGAATAAGCACTTAATAAATGTTAGCTATTAATAATATTATTACTTGTGTACCCATACCTAGTTCTTTTTTTTTTTTTAAGATTTTATTCATTTATTTGTCAGGCAGAGATCACAAGTAGGCAAAAAGGCAGGCAGAGAGAGGAGGAAGCAGGCTCCCCACTGAGCAGAGAGCCCGATGCAGGGCTCGATCCCAGGACCCTGAGATCATGACCTGAACTGAAGGCAGAGGCTTTAACCCACTGAGCCACCCAGGCATCCCCCCATCTCTAGTTCTATCATGTCCTGACCTTTCATTATATTTACTTCAGATCTTTATCTCTCCTCTTACTGAGGGACATTTAAGTTGTTGGTTTTTCACCATTTCCAGTGTTTTGGTTCTCTCAGGTTTACACCTAGAGCGGAACTGCTGAATCATAGAAGACGTACATCTGTAATTTTGCTAAATCTTTCCAAATTGCTCTCCAAAGAGATTGTACCAATTTACATTCCCACCAGCATTTAGAGGCCCCAGTGTTCTGCATCCTCTCCAATACTTGAAATTGCCTGACTTCATAGTTTGGCTCAATCTGATTTATGTGAAATAATACTTCATCGTATTCATTTTTGTTGTTGTTCATTTGTTTATTGGTGTTTGGATTTGTTCTTCTGCATTTTGCCAGTTCTTATCCCTCGCCTATTTTTAAAATCAGACTATCTTTTCCGTATTGACTTGAAGGAGTTCTGTGTATGTGCGTATCTAGCCTTCGAGGGTCATTCGTGTTGTGGATATTTTGTCTCAGCCTCTTTTAGTGTTCAGACATTTCTAATTTTAATGTAGTTCATTTAATCACTTTTTAAGAAATAGTTTGTGATTTTTTTTTTTTAAGATTCTTATTTATATATTTGACAGATCACAAGTAGTCAGAGAGGCAGGCAGAGAGAAAGAGAGGAGGAAGCAGGCTCCCCGCTGAGCAGAGAGCCTGAGATGCGGGGCCTGATCCCAGGACCCTGAGACCATGACCTGAGCTGAAGGCAGAGGCTTTAACCCACTGAGCCACCCAGGTGCCCCTAGTTTGTGATTTTTGAGGTCTCGTTAAGAAGTTTCTCTGGGGCACCTGACTGGCTGAGCCAGAGGAGCATGTGACTCTTGATCTTAGGATCATGAGTTTGAGCCCCAAGCTGGGTGTAGAGTTAAATAAATAAATAAATAAATACAACTTTAAAAAAAGAAAAAGTTTCCTACTCCCTCCTATATTTTAATATTTTTGGATTTTGCTTGTCACCTGGAATTAATTTTTGTGCATCATGTGGGCGTGGCTCGTATTTTACTTTTTCCATGTTTAACCGCTTACTGGAAATCCTTTCTGCACTCACGGATTCGTAATGTCACCTCTTATAAATCAAGTTTCCAGATAGATATGGGTCTGTTTTTAAGATACTTTTACAGTTCATGAGTTTTATGTTTCACATCCGGTTGTTGAGTTGTAATGGAAATGGTGTAGTGTGGCGGCCCATGTTCCAGGGGCAGTAATGAGCTGTGAGACTTTGGACAAGTCATCCCACTACACAGGGCTCGTCTTCAATAGTATAAAAAATGACAGATTTATTCTCTTAACCTTTTTTCATTAGTGACCCCTCTGAGTATCTAATGAAAATCATAGATCCTGGGGTGCCTGGGTGGCTCCGTTGGTTAGGCGACTGCCATAAGCTCAGGTTGTGATCCTCGAGTCCCTCTTTGGGCTCCCTGCCTGGCAGGGAGTCTCCTTCTCCCTCTGGCCCTCCCCGCTCTCATGCTCTGTCTCTCTCTCTCCCTCTCAAATATATAAATAAAATCTTTTTAAAAAAATCATAGATCTTTCCCCAGAAGAATATACATAAACATACAATTTTGTATATAATTTCAGGGTGTTCACAGAGATAGGTCCCACAGCTCTAGCATTCTGTGATTCTACTTATAAATTGAGACACTGAAACATGGCTTTATCAAGGTGGCTTTTAATTGAAGGAAATTTCATTTTTCAGTTGGTCTTCCCAGTTGTAGACATTAGCTGGCATTTGGTCTTGAGCTTCAGCACGGATCACGGCGGGACGTTGCGCATTGGTAACGTATACAAATAAGAGCTGTGGATGCGCCCTGAAAGCATCCTAGCCAGTCCTCAAGTGTGATCCTGTCTTACATTGTCTGCAAAATTCACACCAAACTAAAAGACTTATCCTCAGCACTCTCAGCCTGACTTTAATCAGAGGTTCCTTCTGTTTTGTCTGTGCGCCTTCTCCACTGTTTGCCCCTCCGGGCTCTTAACATCATTGACACTCAAAGTGCAGGGATTTCCTTGCAGCAAATATGTTCATGGAGGTCATTTCATCCATCAGCTTTCTCTTCGTGGTTGTGCTGGAACTGGGGCTCTTCCTTAAAGTGCTCAGTGCTGCCTTCCAGAGGATTTCTTGAGTAACGGATGCCCGTTGCTCTGATGTGTTCTGATCTGCTATGAGACAACTGCAAGATCCCAGAGAGGAATCTCATTTCTTTTTTTTTTCTTTTTTTTTTAATATTTTATTTATTTATTTGACAGACAGAGATCACAAGTAGGCAGAGAGGCAGGCAGAGAGAGGAGGAAGCAGGCTCCCTGCGGAGCAGAGAGTCCGATGCGGGGCTCGATCCCAGGACCCTGAGATCACGACCTGAGCCGAAGGCAGAGGCTTTAACCCACTGAGCCACCCAGGCGCCCCAGGAATCTCATTTCTTGATGGATCTGGACCTTTTGAGTTAGCTACAGAGTTAAACAAAATCTCTACAATTTTAGTAGAAATCTAGTATTGTAAGCATCTTAGCAAAATTATGTCATATTCCTCATACTCTACACTGATGTAACACTCTTAAAGCCCAACATAATCATCAAAGGCAAGACTTTTGCAGGCTGCCTTGTGTCCTGTATATGATTATGTGGAATCTGTCTTCTTAACCCTGTCTCCCTTACTTTGTAGTGGATCTGACTGGTGGCTACAACATTGGCACCATCAGCCACGAGAGCCGTGTTGATTGGCTGGAACTTAATGAAACGGGGCACAAGCTTCTCTTCAGGGACCGGAAACTTCGTGTAAGAAGGGTTACTAAGGCCTTAGCCATTGAGTAGTCCATAGAGGGTGTGGTACTACCTGTTGCCAGGGATTGTGGGGGGCAGGATGGGCATAATTTCTTGGTGCACTATGCCATTAACATAGCAAAAGGCACAGAAGAATCAACATTGTGTCTGATATCATAGCCCATCTGTTATCCCCAAGAGGGAAATTTGGGAGCTGGTTTCTCTGTTACTGTTCACAAGTCTGTGCCCTCGTGAGATGGCCTCACCCCCGCATGCCTGGCTCACCTTTACCCACACCTGTTGCAGCATTCGTCAGCTACACGTACCACACAGCCTTACGGGTGGCTCGACAGTCTCCCCCGAACTCCTTATTGACTCTGATCTCAATATGGTATCACCAAAGAGCTCCACCTCGAGGGCAAAGAGACTGTCTGGGGATTTTTCATTTCATCTTTGTTGTGACGTGAAAGCCACATCGCCGATTTCCAGACCATTTAATGTGCGTGGTGGCCTTACTTTTGTGATCCAGTCTGGCAACTCGGGCCCAGAGTTAAACTCTAAGAATGAAAGTCTGACCTTCAGCTAACTTAAATTTCTGGGTGTAGCTCTGGGCTCACTTGATCATCTCTTATGGGCCAGAGTCAGGATGTACCAAGTCAGCATCGTCGAGCATCGCAGGCTAGTAAGCTTTGAAATTCAGCATCTGCCTGACTGGTGGGTCAGCTCGGCACATTTCGTTAGAGAAATGGTCGATATCAGAACCCACCCTGTAGCCCCTTCTGACTGCGCTGTCCACCTCTGCCTTCCGCAGTTGCATCTATACGATATTGAAAGCTGCTCTAAGACGATGATCCTCAACTTCTGCTCCTACGTGCAGTGGGTCCCAGGAAGTGACGTGCTGGTGGCTCAGAACCGAAACAGCCTGTGTGTGTGGTACAACATTGAGGCACCCGAGAGGGTCACCACATCCTCTATTAGGGTACGTCGGTGCCAGGGGACCTCAGACATAGTGTCCCACTGATCAGTTACGGCCCTAAGGAAGCTCCAAAGGTTATTTGGTTTTCTCTGGCCCACCACCCATCATCTCTGTGATAGAGTCGGCAAGTAAAGCTTAGATCCTTCCCCACAGTGCGCTAGGCCCCAGAACCGTCCTTGTTCAGATTCCTGACATTGTGTCCTGTCCTCTCTATTGCAGTGGCCCTGGGAATTCCCCAGGTCATAATGAGTTCTCTTAGGCTGGAAGAGCCCCCATAGCGGGGGCAGGTCTGTCAGTTCCTGGGTGAGGATTCTCTGTTGTAAGCTGTTCAGAGCTCTTTTTTTTAATCAGACTGAAGATCAGTCACTCTCCTGTCCCGACAGCATCACGTACATTCCAGTGACCTTCCAGAATCTTGGAGGGAAACAAGAGAGGCCCCTGTGCTAGGCTAGGATGACTGGTGTGGGTACAGAGCGAGCATGTGATAGTTCTTTTTGCCTTTTTTCTATATCTCTTCTTTCCCTCCTTTCTTTCCTCATTTTAGACTAATTAAGTTTGGCGCTTGGGGGTTATTCTGTCCTTTTTTATTTTTTAATTTTTATTTATTTATTTATTTATTTTAAAGATTTTATTTATTTATTTGACAGACAGAGATCACAAGTAGGCAGAGAAGCAGGCAGAGAGAGACGAGGAAGCAGGCTCCCTGCTGAGCCGAGAGCCCGATGCGGGGCTCGATCCCAGGACCCTGGGATCATGACCTGAGCCGAAGGCAGAGGCTTCAAGCCACTGAGCCACTCAGGCGCCCCAATTCTGTCCTTTTTTAAACACATTTTTCCCATTTTTGCTTTGGAGGTCATACATTTGACTCCTATAGTGGTTACCCTTGGAAGTTGACCATACCCTTAAATTATTCTGCATAGTTTCAACTTATTTAGCATCTGACCCCTGGCAAATGATACAAGGACCTGAACTTTGATTACCTCCCCTTTGCCATTATTGTCCAGTATTTTTTTATCCCCAAAGTGAGACGTTATTCTTTTACACAGCCGGAATTTGGTTACATTTACCATCATGCTGCCAGTTTCTCTGCTCACTCTTTCTTTTTGCATTGCTGACCTTTGCTCTGGAGTTTACCTCCTGGAGAGAAAGCGTTTCAAAGATAAATCCTCAGTTTCTGAAAATTACTGAAATGGAATTATCTGAAAATGTTTTTATTTGGCGTGTTCTTAAAAGAACAGTTGACAGTTTTTCTTAGTCTTTTGCAAATACTGTCGTCCCATTGACTGACCCCCTTAGTTCTGAGAAGTTTATTCACAGCTACTTGTGTTTTGTTGCTTTTTTAAAAAATATTTTATTTATTTATTTGAGAGAGCAATGGGAGGGGCAGAAGGAGAAGCAGACTCCCCACTGAGCAGGGAGGGATTGGGGGGTGCTTAATCCCAGAACTCCAGGACTGTGACCGGAGCCTAAGGCAGAGGCTTACCCAACTGAGCCACCCAGGCGTCCCTGTCTTGTTGGTTTTAAAGTCTTTTTTTTTTTTTTCCAGCATTCTGAAGATTCAGTACATTATGTCTGCATATAAATGTCCTTCTACTTAACTGTGCTTTGGCGTGTATGCGCATGCGCACGCGTTTGTGCGTGTGTGTGTGTGTGTGTGTGTGTGTGTGTGTGTGTCCCATCTGTGAGGACACCTTGTTCCTCAGCCATGAGCTCTTTAAATGTTGCTGCTTCTCTCGAACTCTCTTTCTCACCCTCAGAACTCTAATTAGGTATGTGTTCCGTTTCTTGTCCTGTCTTTGTGACTCTGTAACCTCTTATTCTTCCTTCCTCCTTCTCGCTCCATGCTACATTCTGGATAATTCCTTAAGAAACATCTTGCAAGGGGTGCCTGGGTGGCTTGGCCCTGAAGTGTCTGCCTTTGGCTCAGGTCATGATCCCGGAGTCCTGAGATCGAGCCCCTGCATGGGGCTCCCTGCTCAGCACAAAGCCTGCTTCTCACTCTCCCACTCTCCCACTCCCCTTGCCTGTTTCCCTCTCTCTCTGTCAAATAAATAAATAAATACAATTTTTTTTTTTTTTAAAGATTTTATTTATTTATTTGAGAGAGAGACAGTGAGAGAAAGCATGAGCAAGGAGAAGGTCAGAGAGAGAAGCAGACTCCCCGTGGAGCTGGGAGCCCGATGCGGGACTCGATCCCGGGACTCCAGGATCATGACCTGAGCCGAAGGCAGTCGTCCAACCAACTGAGCCACCCAGGCGTCCCTAATTTTTAAAAAATTATTTAAAAAAAAAGAAACATCTTGCAAGTCAGGGGTTCGCTTTCACCATTGTCTCATCTGTTATTGAAATCACCCACTGAGTTTTCTTACTTCAAATATTGAATTTTTCATACGGTTTTATTTGGTTCTTTCTCTAGTCTGCCTGGTCATTTTTTCTAGTATATTTGCTGCTGAAGCGAACACAACCCGGCCATTTTTTATAGTCTCTTGTCTCTTGCTTAATTTTTCATTCCATCTCTTAGGTCTTTAAACATTTTACATTTCTTTCATATTCCATAAGAGTTTTCTTCCGTAATTGTTATTTTTAATATTGGAAAACCTTGGAGGTCCACAAGTGCTGTAGTTATTGTTATTGTTTACTCCTTTATGGTGGTTAACTTCTATTTTGGTACCTTTTTTTATTGGGGGGCTGATGTTACATTGAATATAATTTTTAGAATTTCAAGGGCCTAACATGGGCATGTTTTCCTCTAGAGATGATCAGTGTTTGCTTTTGCAGGAATCGAGCATACTAATGACTTTTGTTCCCTTTCCTGAAGAGAGGATCCCAGATTTCATGACTAACAGATTCTCAGAATCGCCCCCTCATCCTGCTGGAGGACCCCTGGTTTATTCATGCGCTGCTGTGTTTGCCGTCAGGGCAACTGTACCCTTTGCACTTGCTTCCCTGTTTTTTCCTGCTCAGGTTTTAGCTTACCGGCTTTTTCCTTTTTTTTTTCTTCTTTCCTTTTCTGTTTTTCTCCTTTTCTTTGTCTTCTTCCCTTCCTTCCTTTTCTTCCCTTCCTTCCCTCCCTACCACCTTTCCTTCCCTTCCTCCTGCTTTTCCTTTCCTTTCCTCCCTCCCTTCCTTCTTCCCCGTGGGAGACTAGGAAGCTTGCCTAGTGATTTCTTCAGGTGACCTAAGCAACGATGGTATTCAAAAGTACGGCCCAGGTTAAAGTTGTATTTTATCAGGACTCAAGCTGGTAGCAGAAGTGGTTGCACACTTTGTCAGTTTACCTGCAGGCATTAGTGCGGGCGCAGCTCTGAGTGTCCAGGAACCTGAGGGCATTAGTGTAGATAAGGGATTCTTACCTGCTTG